CGTCTTCGATTTTCTTAAAATTTAAATTTGTTGTAAAGGATCGAAAAATAAGGGTCACGTATTTTTTTTATTGGCCCAATCCCCTATTTAAGGGGTGAAAACCGCCCGTAAAGTTTACCCCCAAAAACGGTATTTTCTAAATATCTCGAGTTGTAATCGATGTTTTGAAATGAATCAAAGTACAAAATATTTCTCTCTAGTAGGCGAAACTACTGACAGTAATTTGGACCTCGGGGGTAGCAACCCTTATATTTTATTTCAGAGAAACGATATTTCTTCAAATATTTTTGAATATAATATTTGCCATAAAATTAAATAAATTACGGAAAAATCATTTTCGTGCTTAAAATTGAAGAATAAAGTTGACGTCTTTCAGGATTTTCACAAATAAGAGCGTCACCGGGGGTAACCAATCCCTAATCCCCAATCCCCAATTTTTATAAAGTTTTTTTTATCTATTTTGTAAATATATCATACTTTTTGTAATTTCTATTAATGTAAATATTTGCGCAGTTGAAGTAGTCCCTACTGTGCATTAATTGAGACTGTTATATATAAGAAAATACAGTAACGAAATCGTGTCGGGATTGTTAAATACACATTTTAACTTGAATTTTTTTATTGAAACCGAAGGCGAAATAATATAAAATATTGACAATGAAATAATTAAAGATTTTCCGCAAATTTCTTTCGATTATTTTCTTTAAAGATTCCTTATTATCATGTTTTTATTAATTCATTCATTCATTTTTGATGAAACAAATCCATTAAACATGCATTACTTTCGATGTCATAACGTTTATTATAAAACTAAAGTTATTTATAAAAATGATTCTACGGATAAATTTAAATAGCGGTATCCACTCCTTTAAGAGATGTTTGGGCTGATGAAAAAAATGCCGATTCAAATATAAACATAGTGTACATATTGTACACCTTAAAATATTTATTCAAATTGGACAAAACTATTCTGCACTTAAGGGATTGGTTACTCCCGGTGACGCTGTTATTTGTGAAAATCCTGAAAGACGTCAACTTTATTTTTCAATTTTAAGCACGAAAATGATTTTTCCGTAATTTATTTCATTTTTATTGCAAATATTATATTCAAAAATGTTTGAAGAAATATCGTTTTTCTGAAATACAATATAAGGGTTGCTACCCCCGAGGTCCGAATTACTGTCAGTAGTTTCGCCTACTAGAGAGAAATATTTTGTACTTTGATTCATTTCAAAACATCGATTACAACTCGAGATATTTAGAAAAAACCGTTTTTGGGGGTAAACTTTAGGGGCGATTTTCACCTCTCAAATAGGAGATTGGGCCGATAAAAAAAATACGTGTCCCTTATTTTTCGATCCTCTACAACATATTTAAATTTCACGAAAATCGGAGATGGACACCTCAAGGGGTTTCCTTGTCAGTTAAAATCTTCCAAAAAATCACGGCAGCATATTCGGGGCAACTACCGGTCCATCGGCCCAGACCGCGACCACTGGCCGGACCCGGCTCCCGGATTGTGCACGGCCTCGCCCAATCTGGGAGCTTCCGGTCGAAGCTTCCAAATCTAATTCTCTACGATTCTCTCTGATTCTTCCAAAATCAATTTTATTGGAACCATGAAATTTCTTCAACAAGAAACTTCTGGATTGCCGCGAGTAGTTCATTTTATTCTGAAAAGTAAATTATTCGCTCCGGGTCCTCCTAGGCGCCCACGATTACGAAAATGTTCTTTCAGGAATTAAATGAATTAGACCGCGCTTGGAAATCCGGATAAATATGCAATACACCCGAACTGCGAATCCTTAGAACGTAGGTCGTCGTTTTACTAGCTTTTGGATCTGCTCGCGGAGTGATTTTTTCTAATACGAAAAATCAGGGGATTGCCAAGCTTTCGAGACGTAGGGAGCTCTGCCCGAAAGACTGCCAAAGTCGAAGAGGCTATATGCCGAAGCAGTCCCTTAAGAAAAGAGCAACTACGGTGGCCTTCCGTTCTTTTGAACAGACAGCCATCCATTTTTTGGCCACGTTGTCCCTCCTGTTTTTTTGTATGTCATGTTGTCAGGATTGACGGGGAACAGATGGCAAACAATTATTTGTAGAGTCTGCATTTAAATGCAACTTTGCATACTTAGTACCATGAAAAATACTAGTTCAGTAAATTTAACGAGATTGATGTACACTGACATTCATCGATGGCTTCCTCGCGGATTTACTGCCCTCTCCAGCTGCGCAGCGTACTAGCGGCGGGAGCAGCGCTGAATTCGAATCGCCCAAGGGGCAGAATGGATTTCCTAAAGGTGTAGAACGTATATATATATGAGACATTAAATCATGATTCCGCTTCTATGTCCGAAAGTGGATGCATTGTAAATTTTCCTATGACATTTCGCTGTAATATTAATAGACCATTTTTTTAAGCTAAGTAATATTCTAACTTCGTTTCAGTAGATGGGACAATTGAATCGCTAAGAAACTTGTTACCTTTTAATAAAACATGTTTTAATATATTCTTTAAGAAATTTCTGTGAATAATCATTTAACAAAAACTACGTAAAGTGGGTCAGAGACCCTTCACAATAATATGTAAATAATTATCATTAATCGTTTTTGTTGATAAACATTTTTTTTTTCTTTAGGAAGTCTATTCTACCCCTTAGGCGATTTAAATTCCGCGCTGCTCCCGCCGCTAGTATATACTGCGCGTATGAAGAGGCAATAGGTCCGCGAAAAAACCTTCGTGTATTGCCAGGGTACCATTAATATTCTTAACTTTGAGTAACTTATTCGCTGTCTAATATCAGACTTTCTGGATTTTTTTTAATGTTTTGTTTTGCCGGTCCTTTTGTGCCGCTTTCTACGTTTAGGGGAATCATTTTCATTAGGAGGATCCATTTCTTTTTTCATGTCATCATGGGTAGTTCATCGCTGCAGGGCTTGCTGGACTTGTTGGTAAAAGATGTTAAAACATGTTAAAGGATGTATGTTGTCACGGAGATGAGTTGGGAGATTGCTTACGGGCATGGTCTCGTGATCGCGCACTTGCCACCTGATACCCCCTAGTGGCGGCCGAACTCATCTCTGGGGATACGGGAGCGGAGATGAAGAGGATTCCTGAGTTGGACCGCCACTGGCGGGAATCAGGTGGCATGTGCACGAGCTGCCCGCATTCTCCACCGAGGGCAGCACAGAACGCGATCACGCGACCCAGCCCGTGAGCAATCTCCTAATCTTTAGTCATATGTCTAGACTTCGTATTGGACCTCTCACTCCCAAATTTTTAATAAGCAGAATGGCTTTAACTGTGTAGGTAAATTGCCGATTCACGTGACATACATTCATTTACCCCTTCCACTGCAAAAGCGGTCTACATATGTATATATATATTTACAGTATTTATATATATTTATGGTTTAATGTCTGATTGGGTCCGAGTACCGTCGGCTCGCGTGATATTCGAGTTTACTCCTGCCACTGCTATGCGAGGTCTATATGTTTATCATTATGTCCCAACCAGTGTTGGGTAATTTCATATTTTTCGAGGTATTTAACGTATTTTACGTAAACCGTGTAGTTTACCGTAGACAATCGTAAAAAACTAGTAAATTACATTTTCAATATGAAGGATCCTGCGGATATGCGATACACGACATCCGCTAAATTATAAACATCTCTTAGCAGACATGTAAACACGTACATATTTTAATGGAATAATAAACAAATTAAACTGCCGAACTTTGGCGTTAAGCATTCGGGGCCGTTTGGGCATGCTTTTTGATGTATTTGGCGTGATACTCTACCGAGTTTCCTGATTAGTTTGGCGCTTCCGTTCAAAATTCCTATGAATTTTACGGTTCCAATATGGCGGATGCCGCAGGTGCACGATATATGTATCCGTTAGGTTTTAAACGCTTTTAGCACACACGTGAACACGTAAACATTTTAAAGGCTAATTAATTTAACGCTTGTGTTCAAAATTCTTTCGACCTAACCCTGTTTAATATCAATTTTTAATTGGATTCATTATTTTCTATTTAGAAATAGAAGGACGTAATATACTTTATGTGCGCATAGAAAATTATAGACGTGTTAAACGTCGCAATATGTACATAGAAAACCACGTATTTTACATGACGTATTATACCTACCCAACCCTGCTCCCAATTCATCTCTGTTGTTCATACATACATATACATATTTACATATACATACATACATACATACATACATATACATTACATATACATACATACATAACATATAAAACATATATTACATGTACGTAAAATTTGTATTATTTCCGTGACCTGTCCCCTCTTTTATAAATCTCCGATTTTTAATAACAGATGAAAAGTTTTTGTTAATCTCTGTTGTATTTACAGAGTTCGCTACTAAATTCTTTGCACAACACTTGATTTGCACATTTTGCATTTATTCTCACCAAACAGTTCTGTAACGATTCTAAATTTTTACAAATTGTTTTGTAACGTTTAATGTAACACACATGCTATATGTACGTAAAATTTACACTTTTTCCCACAGTCATATAATACTGACACAAATCAAACAATGTACATACTGATAATATATATCGGTATCATGTGTTTCGTTAATATATAACTGCAATGTGGACGGATTTGTAACAATGTTATGGAATGGTGATAATTCGATATTATATATCGATATATTGTTTCAATAACTTTTGCTGTATATTGCATTATTTCAGCGATACGTAACCACTGTAGGATACTCGATGGGTTTGATTTTGTAGCTGAAGAGGGTGAAACGAATTATCGTTAACACGCAATTTTAAAATCGAAGGGGATTGTTTCCAGTTTCTAAAAATACTGTCCGAGATAAGATGATGACGTAGTCTCTTCTTTGTTGGTTTAAATAAACTTTTCCACAACCCTGGGCAAATTGCCCGAAAGTCCTCAATTATTGACACAGCTTTCCGGAAGAGTCCTCGAAAGAAGGTGGCACTTAATTCTCACTCCGGGTGTTATAAAAAATCACATTTATTTACAATTCTACACCATGAAAGTCCTGTACAAATCGTTAATTACAATAGTTCGCAGCTTTAAAAAAGTCTAATCCACCGTGGTAAAACTGAATTTCCTCGGCTTAACGTGTAAGCAGTGCGACAATTCGTAGTTCTATCTCGCAAAGTAATCTCTGATCACAGTCGGTTCGCTTCGTTAAAAACTACTACGAGGAGGGGACGAACGCTTCGTGATCTAGTCGCCTCGCGTGCAAAGCCAAGGCAGTCTCATCGAAACGCTAGACCGCAGCTCCTAATCTTATGTACAGCTTTGTACACTCGTTAAACGTACGCAGTCGCTTCCTGCACTCCTGAAACGGATTTCAAGACGGATTAGCGTCGTTTTATTGTCTAGTTCGCGATTATTTCACCATTTTGCTCTAACGCTCCAGTCTTTTGGCGTCCAGTGCAGACACTTGGGATCGATTCTGATTTGACGTTTCTCCATCGCCGCGGCGTGTTGCTCGATTATTTCCCTGTGAATGAGAAATATTCAGGAATTAAGAAGAGCTTTGGCATCCGAAATAAGAATGTCTGACACAGAAATCAACGAGTTCGTTAATAACCGTAATACTTCATTATCTATTATATATTATATATAAATGGATTTATTACAAAATCTGATTACTTAAGGGGATGTGAAAATGGCATCCGAAGAGTCAATCGTTCTTGAAACTTTTCTCTGAACTGGGTGGGCTGAATCGTTCCACACTTTACAACGTGAATGTGCAGGTTATAAGGAAAGTCCTGACACTCAAGAAATTTCATTCCTTATAACGAATTTCAAAGATATCTATGAACAAATTTGTAAGAAATTGAAATTTTATGAGTTTCGGAAGCTTTCTCATACCCTCCATATTTATATTGTAAAGCTTGAATCGATTCAGTACACCCAATTTGGAGAAGTTTCATAAACGAGACCTATCTGATGCCACTTTCGCATCACCTTAAAACTCCCAGAGTTAGAAATAGAAACAAATTTGGTCACTGCCTTAGTGACTGCAGGATGTCGTTTAAAAATGTAACTTTTTTGATAGAGTTTCGGATTCTTACCTATTTAACGTTACAATAAATTGTCCCTTGTAGTAGTTAATGAGATTGAGGTTTTGCAACGTCGATATCACGTCGTCTTTTTTAATCGACGTCAACTCGCATATCTCATTTATTGTTATCTGCGGCTTCTCGTTCTCGACTAAGGGCTTCACGTTCAGAAGAATGTCCAGTATCGTGTGAGCCCAGTAACTTCTATACGAGAGCAGTCCCAAGTCGGAGAGTGGTTTCTCCGGAGATCCAGTCTTGCCCTCGAATTTCGAGAGCTCGTACGAAAATTCGATGAGCAGTTTTCCATATCCTTTTCTTTGGTATGGAGGTAACGTTAAGATACAGGCAACGTTGTAGTCTTGCGCCGACTCTTTCTCTTTTGAAAAATAACCCACTATGTGAAAACCCCTACTATCGAAGTCCGTCATCACATAGAAAAGAAAAGGATCCGTGTCGAAGTACAGAGTCTTGTGATCCAGAAATAACTTCGCCAAGAGACACAGATTCTGAGCGTAGTTCTTGTTTTTCCTACCGTCGATTTCAAAAAACGATATCGAACCCTTTCGATAAATCTCATTTCCCGGCGGGTGGCGTAACGTACACTTCACTAAGTGTCTTTCCAGGCACTTTCGACTTTTACGGTACTTCAGGCAAAACTCACAGATATAAATACACGGAAAGTTCACCATTTCTTGTGGGTATGGACTGAAGTACCATGGCTTTATCCTGTGACGTCCCAGTTCTATTAGTTCTATGTTTTTCATTCGTGTCACAACGTCGTCGTGGTGATGCGCCACTAACGAGCCGGTTGGCCTTGGTCCTGTTCCTTGATGCGGTTGGGGTGGTCCATCCTGGGAATCTTCGTTTTCCAGGAAGGTACCTTTCCTCTTCCTTGCCATCTTTTTTTGTAATGCTGCTTGAAGGACTGCGGAGCCGTTGACCGGTTCGGGTTCCACATTGGTTGGACTTGGTGGCCTGCTCGGTGCTTGTTTCTTTGGCGTCGCCGCACCTGTGCCAGGAGTCGTTCCATCCCGACGTGGATACTGCACTTTCCGAGTATCCAGACATTCTTCCGAAACCCATTCGTCTAATCTTTTGTTAACTACAAGGAAAAATATATATATAAATTTCCATAATATAGCCGGTCATAAATTGCGATCCTCATACTTACAGTCTATATAATGAACGTAGTAACACTTGATATCCCGTACTTCCTTAACGCTGATGATTTCAGCAAGCGCTACAACCAAACGATGTATTGAATTATTCAAAACTTATGATAAACAAGTTTCTTCATATTTAAATTCTATTGTCGCACTTCGTTTACCTTAAATTATAGACTATTATTACCAAACTGATCATCATCGTGTATTGGCAAGATAACCTATCATGGCATTGTTTACATGGTGTTGTGCTGGACAAAATGCTACTATAATAAAAACCCTTCTTGTTTTAAGTGGTCCCTTTATCTGAACGTTACTTTGCTTATGGATATTTGCTCCTAACCGGTTCATGAAACCCAGAGAGTGCACAAATTTGCAGGCACCAAAGTACCATCGCACTCCTAGAGTATATCATTCCTCTGGTAATTACTTTAAAAAATTGTTCCAAGAAATCATTAGGATTTTTAAATGGTAGAATAATATTGAAAAGTTGAACTTACGCCAGTCCTCTGTGCCATGCATCCTGACCGGCAAGCGGCAACCTTCCACCAGGGAATTCTAAAAGTGAGGTTAGGATTTAGTAGCAGTTGTCGTTTTGGCTCTCTTTAAACGTTCTTGTGGAGCTTTTGAGGGTTTTCAGAAATGCCTCCTTTGTGCTTACCACGGAGTCGCATATTGTCTCTCGTTCGTCGTGATCCTCGATCATTTCAGTCAAAATCCTCAAAAATTTTGTCGCCAAACAGTATACTGTTTTGATACGCTCGCAGCCCTCGCAGCACTGGCGCCAGCGCCACTGGCGCGGTGCACGCATCGCGGCAAACGTAAGAACTAAATTTAAAGCCCACCCCCGTGCTTACTGAAAATTATTTTACTTTTATTTCTCTCCAAAATTATAACTAAATTTATAAATATCGTAAAATTTCGCCAGCAATTCAGATATACGCTAGTTTAAGATCTACTGAAACAATTTGATAGACGCGGCTCTCATGACTTTGAATATATAATAACATTTCTTTACAATCAAAAGAAATGTTAATAAATTGTTGAGGATCGAAAGGCAGACATTTAAATTACTAAAAAATTGTAAAATAGTTTCTTTGAAAATTTCAAACACGATCGATCAGCATTACCTTAAGAAAAAGGGAAACATTATCTTTAGAAAGTTATACTATTCTCAAATTGTAAGTTAAATTTTTAGCTCGATGAACAATATGAAAGATTTAACAAAATATTATTTGTTCATGATTTAAAATATTGGTACAGTGCTCATAATATGATACAAACGTTTATACTGTATTATCAAACTGAAATTTTTTACAACATAAACAACGTCAACTATATTTCAAATTTACTACATCGATAACCTTGTTAAATCATATTGTTGGGGTAGATGTAGCAATAATTTCTTAATGTACAAGGAAGGTCCTTCCAGTAAGCAGACAACAGCCGTAAAAGCCATTCACGAATATTTTCGGAAGAACCTTTGCCATTAATAAGCTTTACAACCTTAGCAGAGGGAATTTCCTTACTTAATTAAGGTTAACAATAATCGATATTGACCATTGTGACCGAGCGGTGCGTTTATGATGCACCTACCTGATATCGACAAATCCTCTATGAAACAAACCGTCCAGTATTTCTCCCCCCCCCCCTCCGAGTACCGTCTTGGGTTTTTCCAAAAATCTCAGTCAATTAAGGTGCAGGGTGTGGCCTAGCTTTTATCAAAATTGATAAATCCGAAACTTCAGCCGGCGATACCTGGGTAAGGGCCCAGGATAATTTTTGCCGAAGCTCAATACATCAATTGCAATTCCGTGAGCACTGAGGAATCAATTCGCCTACTCAGAAAAATATTCCAAATTGAACTTAGGAATTTGTTTAAAATCAGAATTAAAATACAGCGCGTCTGTAATTTTCAAATACGCACGCGCAACACATATTTATAATTTATAAAACTTTGCTATCATTATAAAATGTATTTACGACTTGATTGTTACTTTCTGAGGAGATATAGATTAAACTAGTAATTACTGCCAGCAATGTATTAAACGCTAACAAACACCTTACATCGTGGAGCATTTTCAAAACCTATCTCCTGTATTCCCTTAATGCGGTCTCTGGTTGTTTCAAACTCGAAAGTATAACGATATTGAACCTCGACTCCACGCTGATCCATTAAAACGATTAAATCCACTGGAATTATTACTGGCATCGTAATCCATTAATCTCAGTCACGGTGGAGCTTCGGTAAGGATCCGCCAAAGACTAGGTAATACAAATATTAAAAATGGTTGCAATACCATAATCTCATGCCCTACCAAAAGTTATAATCAAAATGAAGTTTCACGAAATCGAACTACAAACATCGAAAGGTGTTGGTTTTTTTTAACTTCCCATCCTATATAAGTTTTATAAGTTTACTTACAGCTTAATCTCGAAATCTTTTTTTACATACGTTTCAACTGTATCCTATATAAAATACGCGAACCTCCACTCTGTAAAGCACATACAAATATACGAATTTCAAAGGATATATCTACTACATTTTGAAAACTTTTGTCACCTTATTTTCGATCACAATTGTATGTATCTTGATAAAAGCCCCCAGGGCATTTATTAACATTCGTCTCGACATCTTCTCTCGTCTTACCGATTTGTTTAAAATTTCGAACAATTTCGTCAAATTCCTCGCGTAGAAACGGCTTTCTTCGAAGTGCAACACACATTTGTCTTTGAAAATATAAAATATGAAATGATTCAGTCCAACAGCCCTTGTACGAGGTTCTTAAAAATCCCGTATACACTCCGAGTACAAAAATTCATTAAACCAAAGAAATATTTTATTAATTCCAAGAATAATTACTTGACTCAAATAAGTTGTCACCATTCCGAATAAATGTTGCATCCAATTTATTCGAGTTCATTCGAGTCAACTAATTATTGTTTGAATAAAGAAAATATTTCTTTGATAATATTCAAAGATATATTTCTTTGGTTGAATGAAATTTTCTCTCAGAGCATTAGTCCCATTCTCATTTCGAGTGCGCCGTTTCTGGTTTGCGATACATTTATATTAAAAATTGTTCGAGAGATTTTCATAAGCGCAAAACTTCGGTCCAATAACCCACACGAGGGTCCGTCTCGAAACCTCGCGGTCCCACGTCCCAGAAGTCGCGAAATATATCCAGACGACGCGTGTCTCGATTATTCGAGGGTGAAATATCATTCCCATTAAGAAATAAAATAAAAAAGCAGGGAAAGGGGGAAAAAGGAACGAAGCGTCTAGCTCCCGCAAGGCATTCGCCGATACCCGTCGTGGGGCTCCGCCCGGTACATACGGCCCTGTATCGGGCTATGCTCCGGTCTACGTACGCGTACATATGTACCGCACATAAGTGTACTCGCATCGGCACATAAGGGTTGATAGTGCTCGGGCTCGCAAGCCACCCTTATATGCAGGGCGTGGCCAGGGTCCACCAATCGGAGGCCGGTGAATCCCCGAAAGCCCAAATCGAAGGGAGTAAAAATTTTAGCGGACGTGTCAAATGCCAGGAGTAAGGGGCTCAGCCCGCTGCTTGATCCGAGCTTACATTTTCCTTACTCGCCCTCCCGGATCTTACACCTCCCGGGTTTTCTTTCCCCGGGGAGGATCCCCGTTCCATCTTCCGACACGTACCCTAACTCTCATCCCCAAACGTAACGATACACTTACGACTCCGCCAGAAATATCCTCCTTCGCCGCCAAAGGCAGCTCGGCTTTTTCGGATCGACCTTGAGCACCTGATTCGATCTTTACGAACAGGTTTATTTCCTGGTTAGGGGCTTCTTTTCAGGGGAAATTCCGTTTGAATTCGGTATACCGGATTCGGGGCATTCCATGCGCCCGGGGGGCGGAAACCAGGGTGCAGCGATTTCTTACGGGTTACCCGGCCAAGGGTGACAGGGGGAGGTATTTGCTTCAGTTTTCGAGGAACAGATTTTCCTCCAGTCCTGGAAAGTCCTCGCAAAGGCGCGAGTATCACTGTAGGAATGCCTTGTGTTGTTTCTGAACCCATACGATTTTTAGTACACGTCGCGGATAACCCTTCTTCTACGTAAACGTGCACGATAATATATGTGAATAAATGTAAAATAGTATTCAACTGTCAAAATAAAATTCACGCATATTGTGCCAATACTGAAACACAGAGATGGATGTAGGTAGTAATTAACTGTAAATTAAAAAACATTTTATTGTCCGAAACGAGCCCATTTCTTGCTATGTGAATTTACAAGTACAAGGTGCCATGACAAGTCTTACATTAAAGAATATATGTATTATCCTACTTTCTTCAAAAAATCAAATAAATAAAATAACGCGTAGTTAAATCCGTATCATCAAATAGCCGATTCTGGCGACGCTCAAAGCCACCAGAAAATGGTACCAAGTCAACTGCAAACTCTGGACGATTTCAGTTCTGCAGTCCCATTTTTAGGAAACAAAACCGCTCCTTTAGAAAATCCTAAAAAACGAGGTTCAAGATTGATGGTAATCGTTCAACCGGCGGAAAGGTGGCTTTGCAGGACGACCGATTGCGGAAGCTTGTAGCGAAATCATCAATGGAGATGTTAAGCGGACTGTTGGAGCCTCGTTAACTCCAGCCGAACAGCTCTCCCTTAATTAGCCTATAATTTTTACGTTAATTATTCTGTTAACTTTCCAGCAGCCGCGATACGTACGGAGGGTAGGCGGGTGTTTAATAGCCCTAGTGTTACCTCCGAGGCTTTTCGCCATTAAGAATCCCACAAGACCGTCCCTCGTGAACCCCCACGTCTTCCACGTCTCTACATATTATGCTCTACCTTGGCGTCTACTCGTACGAGCTCGCGCGCGCATTCAAACTATACACCATGTAGGTATTTCGGTGTACTAAAATCATTAGAAGCACGTGTGCCGCGCATTGCGCAGAACCTCGACCTCCCATTAAAATTGCAGGAGTGCCCTTTTCCGAAAATTTATATTAAAACAAGTGTTTGCGCTTGTACTTTCAAACGGAGAGAGCGAAAAAGCGAGGGCTTGGGGAGTCGGCCATTTTGTCTTTGCCAATTTTAGAAGAGAGTGCAAGGAAATGTTGATTAAACGTCTTCGGTGATATTAAGGGTGTTCGTGGGTACTTTGAACTAAAAATTAAAGGTAGAAGGTACGACCGATTCGAGTGCTCTTTGCAGGAACATCGTGCAGATAGATCTTTGGGACCAGATTCTGGAGTTCGTACGATTAACTCTCACGTGCGAAATTGATAGTTTCGTATACGACTTTCAAATGTCGACCAATTACGCGACTTCGCAATAATGCAACAATTTTTATGCGAACGTATTCGTATGGGAAAGAAATCAGGAATCGGGTCCCTGGTCCATGAGGTACAGTTCATGCGTCTTTACGCAATGAAACCGATTGTCTTTCCCAACCTAATTAACGACCAAGGCAGATTATAGGACCGAATTGCACACTTTTTGCTGCAACTTCGCATAGACAAATTTCTGGTCCGCGTTTAGAGTTCGTGCATGCATTTCCGTAAGATGGAACCGATTTTCATCTCTAACCTGACTAATGACTAAGGTAGGCGATACCGCTTTGAATACTCTTTTCAGGAACACCATGCAAATAGATTCCCGGCCCATGGAATACAATGCATACGTCTTTACGCGATGGAACCGCTATTTATTCCTGACCTATCTAATGGTCATGACAGATGATTCGACCGAACCGAACACTTTTTGT